TGATATGACTCCTACTAGAAATTTTATTGCGTGTTTTAAGTGACGTCTTATAACTAGCTATTTTATAATATTTATAGAAAAATCCTTTGCAATTCGAGTCATACTATTATTATTTATTGAGAGATCTCTTGTAAAGCTTTCAGTTTCAAAGCTCAAAGGTAATAAGTGTAATCATGAAATCATATTTCCCTACAGCTACGTTGTAGTTGGTACAATTTGTATCGTCAAATTCGTGTAAAAGCACTCGTAGGGCTGTCAGCCGTGTCTAATTGGGACAAGTGGACCTCTTGAGTGCTAGAAACTCTTGACTTGGTCGTTTCTGAGCCGGTAACATGCAAAAACGCAGTAAATATCGTTTTCTCACTAAATATTGTTTTTCTGAAAGTTGTATCTTACGTAGATAGAAAATATTAAAAACCAAAATAAAATACGTCAACGCGCTTGCGATGCTATTGCGAGCCCGTTTTGTGGGTAATGATCAATTGATCGTGGTTTGGATCCCCTCAGGTTCCAAAATATTTTTAAGATTTTTTTCTGAAATATGTTGTAATTCGTCTGGAAATCTGGATATTAAATACATAGGTGATAGGAATATCGGAAAAGCCGTGATGTTTAAGCACGTTTCGGATTCAGAGGATTTTAGAATATGCAAAGGCAAAATAAGTCGACAGTGCATCCTGTTTAGATTTCACCAACCATCAAATTAACCTCATGCCTGGCTGTCCTGTCTTCAGGTTCTCAAACCAAGGTAAAAAAATACTAAAAATATAATTGAAAACAACTGCTACGTAAAGACAATTAATTGGTAAAGTTAAGTTTGTAAAGCTATAACTTTTAAATAAAACACTTTAACGGTTTAAAACGCGATATATTAGTTAAACTTATTTGGAAATGATTTTTTACGTCGGCCCGACGTTTCGGATGCTTTGCAGCAGCCGTGGTCACGGGGAGACACACGCTTTTTATTTTTATTTATTATTTTATTTTATTTACTACTCGCATAAACTATAGACAGTATTTAAGCTATAACTTATAGCTCGACTACGCAATAACTACACAATACTCAAAATTTTCAAAGATCTTTTTTACGTTTAGAAAATTTTACTTACTACGAATGAATTGGTATTCTATTAATTTAAATCAAGTCTTAAACATTAATGGAAAATCAACTAAAAAAACCGTTAAGCTTGTTTTTGGCTTCGTAGTTGTGTACAATTAGAAAATAAATCAGAATACCTATTGACAAAATTGCGCATGAGGTACATATATCAAAAATTCGACGATGACGTGTAGGATACAGTATCTCAATTGGTTAGAGGAACAGTGCCTGGGGATGCCAGTTGTCCTGCCCGTGTCGTAATTTTTTTTTTACAAATCGATTTTTAATTTAAAATTGTGGATGTGATAGCCCTGACTCCAGTGCTACCAAATCTAGGGCGTCTCGCATCCCGTATGCCAATGTTTATACAAGTCTACAAACAATTCCGTAGTATTTGCGTAGTTGAATCGATAGTAAAGCTATGTTAGCTCGGTTCGAGACAAAGGGATTTTAAATTGTGTTATTTAGCTGCAAAGACCGATGAAGCAGTTATATTTTCGACACAAATCAGTATTTTCTTATATTTACTTCATCAAGCGACAGATAAGCTCTGAAAAAGCAAGTAAGTAACATCAAATAAGGATAAATAACATAATTAAGCAAAGCAAATATTTTAAACCATAGTTGAGTTTGAAAACCATTCTATGCTGATGTATTGTAGAAAGTTAAAACAAATTTGGATTTTTTTAAAATATAGTATGGCTAAATTATTCTGTTTAAAATATTTATAGTAACTACGACTAGTATTACAAATTACATAATTAATAAAAATATGAAAAGTGATTTGTTATTAATGACATCTAGTAATTTTCTTAAGAACTATCAATGTTACAATATTTTTGTAAAAGTGACATCTAGGCACTAATATAACGAATCTAATTGCTACACACCTACCACACAGTCGTAGCTTATACCGGTCATTAAGTTCAAAACCTTGAAGATAGATGACTCTTATAACAACATAATTATTTAAATAAAACACTTTAACGGTTTAAAACGCGGTATATTAGTTAAACTTATTTGTTTATTTTCAAAGTGTTTTATTTAAATTTGTACTACTCGCATAAACTACAGACAGTACAATATATTTAGTTTAAGTTTTTTTTGTAAAAAATTTTGACTATGTTAAAGCAAAGTATGCATTTTTATAAGCTTCAAAGATAAATAAGAAACTAAAGCTAAAATGTTTGAAATTAAATATATTATTTTCATGCTATTATTTATAAATTAAGGAAAACCAGTTACTAATATAATATCAATCCAAAATTATCTTTATTTGCTGGTAATTTTAATTAGGTTACGCACAACACTTGATATTGGGTTATCCCATGTTATTATTAAATAGATATTGTAATAACAGGTAATTAGTAGAAAATTATGTAAAACTGGAATTGCCACTTAGTTATGTTAGGTTCCTACTTCAAACATACTAGTATATGTCGAAGTATGTGATCCAGAATTGTTTTTAAAATTGGTGACGTCGGCAGCACCGACGTCATAATTGTCAATATTGTTAGAGTGGTCCATTTTTACTATTGAAACACTTTTATAATTGAATAATAAAAATAGCTATAGACTAGACGTTCGCTCTCAGAGCGCCGTCCTTCCAAAAGTGCCCTGCGCTACAACGGACGGCCTTATATAAGCACGTAGTGGGGGATTTCAGTGGAGCGACCGACGTGAGTCACTTGTTTACGCCTTTAGGAACACGTGCAGCGATGACGTAACGCATTGCCTGTTTTGCGCCGATACGACCATCCTGACCGGCTGTGCGCGCTCTGCACTAGCCGTTTTGGTGTTTTACTGAAGAATATTAATTTCTGAAACTGGTAAATTTTAATCTTTGAGATTGGTATCAGTGAACCAGGTTGCTAATAATTATTATGGTCAGCAATAAGATTCATATCTGACTGAGTTTAGTGTATACTGTAGTGTTATGTTGTCACATACACTGTGACACCAAAGTCACGCACTCTGTGGTACTATTGTCGTGTACCCTGTGGTACTATTGTCGTGTAACACATCACAATAGTTACAGTGACAAATTATATTGGTAAAAGGTCATTTTAATTAACTGTTCATTCCACATGACAACAGTTTAAATCAATTGCTATTGTAAACGGTGACTTATTTAAGTAAACTGCTCATTCCACATGACAACAGTTAAGGACTAATGATATTGGTGATCTTATATTTTAATTTTATTGAACTGCTCATTCCACATGACAACAGTTTCGTATTTTTAATTTTATTGAACTGCTCATTCCATATGACAACAGTTTCGTATTTTTAATTTTATTGAACTGCTCATTCCACATGACAACAGTTTCGTATTTTTAATTTTATTGAACTGCTCATTCCACATGACAACAGTTTCGTATTTTTAATTTTATTGAACTGCTCATTCCACATGACAACAGTTTCGTATTTTTAATGTGTAGGCGGATAGCGAATACAATTATAGACAACACATGGTAAGGATAGGTTGGAGACAGGGCGATGCTGCATAAAGCAGAGGCTCTAAAGGATGATTTGACTAGGTCGATGCTGTGATCTAGGCGGTCCTGAGCGCCGCGGACACAGGGGAATAAATTATTATTATTTTTTTTTTTTCGGATAGGATTTCGCTACCGCTGGCCGTTGGTGGGCTCCAATACCCCAACGTGCATCTTTTCACATTATTATTATTATTTTTTTTTTTTGGCCGTTGGTGGGCTCCAATACCCCAACGTGCATCTTTTCACATAATATTTATGATTGACTCATTAACGATCAGTCGCTAAGAGCAATAATATTATTAGGATTAGTCAAAGGACTAAATGAAGTGAAGAATAAGTATTGCGCCTCGCTAGGTTAACAGATTAAATGGAACTCACCGGGATTTGTCAGATTGTCTCAATCTGAAGACTTTTTAATTTTTAACCAGACAAGGTCATAGGTCATTACATTAACTGTAAATTCTGCTGGGTTCTTGAACCCCTGAACCCTTGTGATATTCAATATCGAAATCATAATTTTGTAGAAATGTCCACCATGGATGAATCCACTGCCAAGGTTTCTAACTCTTGAGTTTCTTTTTTGACAAAGTGCAAGTGTTGGAGCTGAGGTTTCCACCGGTATTCCATCATTGCCATTTCCAGTATGAAATTTCCTTGTATCAGGCTATTAAGCGGAGAAGGTAGGTAATCCCACTTCTGATGTCGAAGTATGTGATCCAGAATTGTTTTTAAAATTGGTGACGTCGGCAGCACCGACGTCATAATTGTCAATATTGTTAGAGTGGTCCATTTTTACTATTGAAACACTTTTATAATTGAATAATAAAAATAGCTATAGACTAGACGTTCGCTCTCAGAGCGCCGTCCTTCCAAAAGTGCCCTGCGCTACAACGGACGGCCTTATATAAGCACGTAGTGGGGGATTTCAGTGGAGCGACCGACGTGAGTCACTTGTTTACGCCTTTAGGAACACGTGCAGCGATGACGTAACGCATTGCCTGTTTTGCGCCGATATATACATATAATTTGTAATTGAATTCGATATAAATATTATTCTCCTATTTATTATGTTCATCATTATCTGCTTTCAAAATTCTAGAATAGGAACACAGATTTCGTTATCGTCAGAAGATTGTTGTCAAATTGGCCTTTCACCTGATAACACGGAAAGAACACAAGGTCACAGAGATAATGTTTTTAAACACGATGGTGGATTTATACTCCAACGTCCCGATAACAAGACTAAAGCAGTTGTCACTGGACAACAAGGCATTGATAAGCTTAAAATAGAATTAAACTTTTCCTTATTCATTAACACACTGAAAAATACCTATAAGTCACCCTATAATAGATAAGTTATGTAAAATACTGAATTTAATTCAGTCCAGTGTGGACAAGCGACAATGAAGTCGATTATAAGTTTTGTTTTGTTTTTTACGACTTTCTCATTAGTGCACGGTCAGCTGTACGATGACAGAGCAAATAAGTTTGGCCTGGAACTTTTATACTTCACGCAAGCTGAAACTAGTGGACACGCTGTGTTAACACCATGGAGTGTCTGGGATTTGCTTACGCGCATTACAATAATCACGTGTGGTGATACTAATGCACAGTTAAAAAGAGCGTTGTTCCTACCCAACAACTCTGTAGAGATTATAATGGGAATTAGTAATCTGGAAAAATCTATAGAAAGAAAATCTGCATCGTTTCCATTATCCATACGCAATTATGCCATATTAGATACAGACGTCGATAAAAGCATTCCCGTGTTCGTGAGAATATTAAGAAAGCTGGAAGTAGAATTGATAGTACTGAATTTAAAGGATCCAAATTCCGCCGTTTTGGTGGCGAATCGTTTTATGTTTGACGCAGGGAAGGATGTACATAAAAACCTACTGCAAAGTACAGACGTGGACCCTTCGGGAATTATATTAACAAATACAAATACCTTCAATGGGATCTGGAAGCATGCTTTCGTTCGATCAAAAGATGATGAGCCCTTCTTCGACATTGATGGTAAAAAAGAAATCGGTAGAGTTAACATGATGTCACAAACGGCAACTGTATCGTATTCTTACAATGGCCAACTGAACAGTGAAATAATAGAGCTTCCTTATGCTGATGAAAGATATGCGCTAATAGTTATATTACCGGATAAAGATATAGGAATAAGCGATATGTATCAAAAGTTCGAAGTGGAAAATATTGACTCCGTTATACAGATTCTAAAAATTTTCCGTAAAGTCAAGCTTCGAATTACGTTGCCGAGGTTCAAGATAAGTACGAACTATGTTCTGAATCAAGCCCTAAATAACATGGGTGTGTTTGATTTATTTGAAAAGCAATTTGCCCAATTCTATGATGCTCCGAATAAAAGCATATTTGTACCTGTAATCGTTCAAAACACAAACTTTGAGGTAAACGAAACGGGAATCTTCACAGAAAACCTAAATAGTGATTCGACAAGTACGCAAATTTTTCGTGCGAATAGACCATTTATGTATTTAGTTCTGGACAAAATAAGTAGTACTATTTTAGTAAGTGGTATATATTCTAAACCAACTGTATATTAATTCTAAGAATGTTCCATCAAAAATACAAATATTATTGTGTGAACAATGGCGATTACCAAAAGTTTTATATAATGTCGATAAAAATTGTATTTTCTTATGTCTTAAGTATTAAGGTGCAAAGCAAATTCTATTATCACAGTATAATATTAAATGTAAAATTATTTAATTAAGCGTCTTCTTGTATCTTGTCTCCTTCCTTCAAATAACTAGTATCTGGAACAGCAGCAGGCTTCCATAATTTTTTTAAAGATGGCATTGATGTCTAGTTCGCAGATCTAAAGAGACTAGGCACACCTTGGGCTTGAGACTCGCATTGTAAAAGTAGTTTTTGTAAATTTAAATAAAAAGTATACCAAAAAAAAATGACGAAAATGGATCTTGGAGGTGGGCATAGCGTAGCCTCCTTGATCCCCGTCATTAGACCCCATCTGTCTAGCTTTTTCGCCTCCTTCTGCAACATCATCAGCTCGCAGAAGGAAATTTTGAAATACTAAGACCAGCATTGAGTCTATACGTTATTGAAGACAAATAATTTTAAATAGGTATTGTTAATATTAGAATTCTGAGCTCATTATATATCAAAAACAACTGAAATCGAATCAGTACATATTATTAACATTATAAATTGATAATTATTATTGCCTTGTTTTTTATTTATGAAACAAAAGAAATTAAATGTAAAAAATTGTTTCGATTTTAAATTTGACGAGCAAATCAATGTTTTTGTATTTCAATTTTGATGTATGACAGCAAATTATAATTTCTACAAATAAAGCGAAATTATCAGGCTATTTGAAATTTTATAATAACTTTAAAATTATTACAACATTATTATTAATATTAATTATTAGTTATATTAATTTCAAAACGCTGGGAATACCTTAATAGTTTAAACAATAAATGTACTAATACACTCTGTAATTTAATATGTTCAATCTCAATAGATGTTTAATTTATATAATGCCATCATATGCAAAGCAAAGTTTCCAATTAATATCATTAAAATAAAGGAATATATTTCACGAGCCAAATTTTACAGATCACATTATCATTGTGTTTTTAACCGACCCAAATATGGTCAGCGCGGAAAATTAATGTATAATTAATATACTTAATTAAATGGCGGATGACCAACAATTGTAATTATTATAATTTTACCTGATGATATAATGGGGATTAAATACTGTCTATAGTTTACGCGAGTAGTACACATTAAAAAAAAAAACACTTTAACGGTTTAAAACGCGATATATTAGTTAAACTTATTTGGAAATGAATTTTAACCTCGGCCCGACGTTTGGGATGCTTTGCAGCAGCCGTTTCCCCGTGACCACGGCTGCTGCAAAGCATCCGAATCCGTGTACTACTCGCGTAAACTATAGACAGTGTTTAACATACGCATTGTTAAACAATTATACATTTTCCTTCTTTTATTTAAACGTTAAAGGTAAGAATTTCGTAATTTTGTTCAAGACACGAATCGACGTCAACGAATGGATTAGCCGTCAAGTGAAGTCCGCGTTTCGGCTACAGTCTTACGATTTCCGAATGGCCAAAGCCATAAAGAACATGAACCGGTTTCCTGTCCCCTTCTGTTATAAAATTAGACATAAGTTGGCTTCATTGTTAAAAGTTGCGAATCGTAATCAGTAAAATTATAACACGAAAATCAAACTTTCATTAGTGTAAACCAAGAGACTTTGTTTCATTTCCGGTCTAGTAACTTTTAGCTTTCATTATAACTATAATTTATTGATAATAATAGATCAATTCTTTTATATAATTTAATAGCCATAATGTATTCTTATTCAATATATTTTACTGTTACATAAATTCTACTTTTGACAGACGTTGTTGTAATGGTAGCAATGTATAATATAACAGATCCGTCCGGGTCACAAACCACCGACCACAGGTGAAAGAGCCGTCAAGAATAATCCTCTTTTGGTTTCAGTCTTTAGTTGCCTTAATATCCAAAGCCAAATTATAGGTCGAAATCTCTATACTATTTTATTGTAAACATGGATTTTTTAATATGAAAAATCGGAGAAACCGTATCGAATATGAAAATGGGAATAAAATGAAACACGTTTAACGATCTACGACGGGAAATATATTAGTTAAGCCATTTTCCCCCTACAGACACTGCATAGCATCTGAAACTTCAGGCCGTAATTAAAATAAATCAAAAACAACTTCAGTATTAAGTTTCGCAATTAAAACCAATAATAATAGTAGTATATTTAGATAAAAAGAAGATAGAAACTATAGACAATGCTTAACTTTTAATCTAAAGATGAGTAAAGTATAACGTTTACAGACAGTACGATAGTAAATAATTATTCATGTAATTATCAATATAAATAAACACACAGTAGCTCGTTTGGTTAGAGCAGTAGCACAGATGCCAGTTCGAGTCTCGGCCTAACATCGTTTTTTTTTATTATTTTAAGTTAATTTAAGAAAGTTTCTTACTTTTATACCCCTCTGTGACTCATTGGTTAAACGCTTTGCCCAGTTCATAACGGTAAATGGTCACGGCCAAGACCGTGTTGTATAAGACATGGTTCTATTTGTTAATACCTAGAATTTGATTAATAAATTTGGTATAAATATAATGTACTAGGAACAGGATTTTTCATAAGAGATAGGGCTTAATTCATAGTGCTAAGCTCGAGATACGTGAGATCTGTTTCAAAGTAAATGTAAGTGTACATTTATTTTGAAACAGATGACACTAAATCTTTTTGCTTAAAAAATTGAAATTTTCAGTATTAAATACTGTCTATAGTTTACGCGAGTAGTACATATTTAAATAAAACACTTTAACGGTTTAAAACGCGAGTTAAACTTATTACTTACAGTCTCTCCGTGACCACGACTGCTGCAAAGCATCCGAAACGTCGGGATGAAGTTAAAAATCATTTTCAAATAAGTTTAACTAATATATCGCGTTTTAAACCGTTAAAGTGTTTTATTTAAATTTTCAGTATTAAATACAATACATATCACTAAAAATGGGAGTCAAACGTGATACTAGTCACTCGATCGAAACAAACGTTACACATATATAACTTATGTAGATGCAACCAGAGCATTAAAAAATAAAAAAGTTGCAACCGCTCTATAGAAATACGAAGCCTTTCTTGCACTAACGACACTCACTTCCGGGCTCTATAAAAACTAAATGCATCACTTACACCGCAACATAACGATAGGAGAGCGCGATCTTTAAGCTTACCGACATGAAGACATTTGTAAGTTTCCACTTTTTTAATTCCTCGTTGTTCCTGGAATTTTCCGTTCCATTCGTCTACCGGTAGTGTGCACTAATTACAGTGTGTGTAATTAGTGCTTTAGAACGTTTGAACTACCGACTTTGGTTATGTTATTTTCATCCAGTAACACAATCCAAATTTCAGTAGTCAAATCTGGCTTAAATAATTATTTTTTTGCTCGATGGTGTGTGGTTCTTGTGGTCACAAAAAATACTAAGATAATATAACTGATATTATTATAATATTAAAAAAAAACTTTTAACGGTTTAAAACGCGAAATATATTACTTCGCATTTTAAACCGATTTAAGTACTTGTTTAAACTTGAGTAAACTAGAAAAATTCGTAATATTAAATTATTTGCGTAAAAAGATTACAAATCGTCCGGTCTATCTTAAATTATTAAAAAAGATAACTGATATATTGCGCGTTTTAAATCGTTTAAAGTGTACTACTCTCGTTAAGTACAGACAGTTTTTAAAATAAAATTAATATGCGAAAATGGACCACTCTGGAATTGTAAAAACGTTCTCCGATAAAATAACGTCGATATAAAGTTAAGTGAAAATAATTACAGTGTTGCAAAAAGGTTAAGCGCAAAAAACTACCTACCTTTTTCAGTTTACAATTCAAATATTATTGAAAATAATTGGTTAGTACAGTGTGTAGTGTATATTATGAACTACGAAAATGTTACAAAATTTTGACGGTTTGTATAATTGAGGCGACACACGGGAACAGGCGGTGAAAGCCTTTCACGATTCACTAGAATCGATTTTACAAAGGAAAATGATAGATTTTATTGTTTACCCTCAATTTTTTTTTGTATCTTACATAACTAATAACTGTATGTACTTATAAAAGCTCTTCCTATCATAGAAAAGTCAAAAACAGACATATTTTACTCTCACTGACGCTATTGTGACATTTTTATGGTTCATTGTTATGACGATTTACTATGTAGACTGCTTAAACTCATATATTTTAATTTTCTCATATTTTAATTTATATGAGTTGGAAATTAATTTACTACTGGTCTATTGAATTGCTCTAGTTAATCTAAGATGAAATACATTTTTAGTGTCGTTATAGAGTAATTGTATTGAGTCTGTATGTAATAAATTAACTTATAATAATTCCTAAGAAAGTGAACAGGAATTTATTTTAAAACTTGTCTTATGGTAGCAATGTATGGCTAAAACTAGGGGGTCTAATCAATTTATAATGAATCTGAAATTTGTTGGACTTCGTCTGGATATCTGGATATTAAATGGATGGTAGGAATATCGAAATTAATTCGGGATCACGAACCACCGTGAACAGAAGAAAAGCTCGAAAAATATAATCGCGTTTCCGTTTTAGTCATTGGTTTCCAAATTTCCAAAGAGGTTGACATCTCGTTGAGATGTTCTATGGGGTACGTTCCATCCAGTGAATCATATGCTTGTTTGTCCTCCTCTATCTAAAAAATGTTTATTAAAACAAAATCGAGTGACTCTAATTCTTGCTCTGCAAAATTGACGCCACGGGAAAATTAACACGTAGAACAATAAACTCCAGCATATGT